TTTTTCCTTGAGCTGGTACAAGCTTCTTAAGGTTATTATGTTCTCCAAACGAAGTTTGGGAACATATTGTTTTACCGTGTTTCTTATTATTATTACTAGATGAAATCCCGCGCACGCGGGGGGGGGGGGGAGGATTGAATTTTTACCACCGCTGACGGAATAATTCAAGTAATATATCATTGTTTCTACAGACAATTAATTACAGGCATATAGCAGGAAGGAATACTTTTTTTCAAAATCCGCAGTTGATTTAGGAGCAGAAGTAGGTATAACCCCCACCCCACCCCCACCCCCACCCCGTCTTTTTTCCCTTTAAAAACTAAATTTCACTAATTAATTGACGTTCTCTCTTTACATGTTAGCAAGATTGTGTCAAGGTGCGGTACTTCTTCTTTTGATGTTATGTCATACTTTTAAATCATGCAGAAAGGAAATCTGAATTCCAACGTACAGTAACTTCTAGGGGGCGGAGCTTAGCTGTACAATAACTTCCAAAAGAACTCAACACTTTTTGAATATTTTTCCTTCAATTTCTGTAAGCATATATAACCTATCCAGAGGAAACACGAGAAACCTCATAAAATTCATCCCCCCTCCCTTTAGGTTGTAAATGCATACGTGAAAACCGTTTTCAAGAGGAATACATGTACATGTGGACAAAAATAATAATAATAATAAAAATACACAGCATTTCATGAAATACATGTATTCTAATTAAAACTTCTAATTGAAATCTGACAATATTGAAAACACCCGCAGTTTCGATGATTCTCTTAATAGCATCTGTTTTCTGGGTTCATTGAGTTACATGCAAACGGGTACACTTGTTCGCATATAATTGTATTTGGAATATCTCACACTACATTCCATAATATTGACACTTGTGGCTACAGTACTTGACTTGGATTTCCTCGGGACATGCAAGCGTATTCCTAGTAACAGTAATGTAGCGGATCATAGTGCGGGCGGATCCAGGGGCCTGTTTTACTAAAGAACTTACGACTAAGACCAAAATTTATTTCTGCTTATTACGTTCTATTTTACATTAATTTGAAAAAAAAAATGGTTTTAAACTTTTAAAAAGAATTTATAAAGACATTTTTCTAGCAATTTCAAACAGAATTATTAATTTTGCAAAATTTTACAATCAACTTAAGTTTCTTGGTCTTAATCGTAAGTTCTTTTATAAAACGGGTCCCAGGTTTCCAGTAATGTGCCTGTGTATGTTATGGTTTTTTAAAATACTCATACTGCTTATAAATTAATCCATCAAATACAATTACACACTCGTTTAACATCGCTTGATATTTCAATGCATTTATTTTCGTACTTTCTGCTTGGTTTGAACACCCTGTACACTTACATGAACGATGGACCCAGGCCTGTGACGTAATGTCGCGTGCAGTTTGGTGCTGAAGGAGTGACTATGCAAATGATCACGCCACAAGACATTTAGACACTTTCTCTCGTTTGTAAGGAATTCATTGTACAGAGAGGCGTGACAGTCTCGTCGCTGAGCCTCTTTGTATAATAAATCCCGTACAAACGAAAGAAATGAAATTTGAAAATAACGAACAGTATTCAATCTCGAAAGTCCAATGAAACGATACAAAGGAGCAGAGCAAACACGGACCTCAAAATTTAAAGGTGGAATCAGGTGCCATGGAGGAGAGAGCATCCCCTGCCCACCGGTCACACCAGCCGTGTGATCCTTGTCATGATCGGGAAACAAAAACCAGAAAAAATCCATAGACAGATCAGTGTATAAATAATGGCCTAACAATTAGTATGAAAAACGTCAGTCAGCATTTGACTCAATTATAGGTTGTAAGTGCTGACAAGGTCATTGTATCGACCGAAAAACTTGCGAAAAGATGACTTCAAACGAGACTGTTGATATCCTTGTTTCGTCAACTTGTTTGTCAATAGCTTGCCTCGTTTTAGAAATTGTTCATACGTAGAGCATGCTCTTGCATATCGAATCAACTGAGAGACATAAACTACATATGCAGGTGATAAGGGTATATTACTACATAAGTAAGGGAAGTTGACGATCGAAAAGTTGAAGTCATCATAAAGCTTTGTTGTTAGGTTACCATTAACGTCTTTTTCTAGTAAAATATCTAAATATGAAACAGATATGTCAGAATCTGTGGTATCTTTTATTTCAAGCTTACTGGGATATATCGAGCCGACATATAAATGAAAGTAACTATTGTTAATTGATAATACGTCGTCGATATATCGAAATGTCGAGTTGAAGGCCACAGCAAGTATTTTCTTCTTCTCATGTAGAAGTTTTTGAATAAATTCTCTCCATATGAATACAAAAATAGGTCTGCTAATAAGGGCGCACAATTGGCACCCATGGGAATTCCAACAGATTGTTGGAAGACCTGATCTCCAAAAACTACATAGAATATTATCAATCAGAAACTCAAGCATTATTTCCATGCCCAATTCACATCAAAAACATTTTTATATCTATGTAGAGCTATTAATGCCTCGTTTTTCTTTTAACATCGGGTTCGATGCCATCTGATGGTGTAGAAATCCGTGAAGATATAGATGTAAAAAATTAAGATCGGGTACTGGCGAAAACAATTTGCACATTTTGTTTTTTAATCAGTAATCATACCTGATTTCTTCTGTATAACGTAAATCAAGTTTTCGCTGAATAATTCATTAATGTTAATGACATTTTATCAAATAATTAAACGTTTGCTTGTCGTCAGTTTCATTTAAACTTGCCAGTAACTTAGATCCGCCAAACATAACCATCGCCGTACTCTCTTTTTTGCTATTTCATGGCTGTTTATCGAAATGAAAGTAGACTTTGAATTAAATTTACGATAATTAGAATGCGAATGAAATCTGAATATAGTTTACGGACATCATCTCATATCTAGTAGAAAAATAGAGGATTAAGTAACTATGAACTACGGTGCAGGCTATTCGGAGTTTATTTGCAAAATTTATTAATTTATAAGTATAGATTAATTTTTCTTCTTCTTCCTGAGTACTTTTTTCCCGTTAGTGATCTCGTAAACTACTCATCCGATTAAGGTAAAACCTTTGTAGAGTGAATAGGTGTGTTATGTAGATTTGCGGAACGAAAGTCATTTTGTGCGCAGTGCATGCATGTGTGTGCGCGTGAAATCTGTAAAATTACCAATATATTTGATAAAGCCGCAACTTTTATATTTGTTGATAAGATGCTTTGATACTCAGAATATAAAGACATATTAAAAGTGTAGACAAGGTGACATGGTCATCATGCACATGCATGAACGTGCGCGCGCGTGCAATGCGTAAAAGCATATATACTTGTGATTTTTTGTTGGACCCTAGATTGTTTGCTAGATGTTAATGTTGGTATATGAACAAGTATTCTCTTGACATTTACAAACTGTATGAGAAGCTCAGGGATAGATCCAAAATTGTCATCAGTCTGTCTTCATTGATTCTTTAAAGATTTATTGATGGAGAGCAAAACCTGTTTTCATATCTCTCATTGTCATTACAACTACACTTAAAGTAGACTCCAACCTGGAATCTAAAGTCCGGGGTCATAATTTTTTTAATTAATAACTGGAATATTTAAGGTAGTCCGATCCTCAGGTTCTGAAAATCAGCTTTTCAATAATTGAAAATGCTCACAAAAATGTCTCTGATTTCACATAGTAACGTAAATTTACCCATGGAATTTCTTCAAAGTTCATCATTATTAGTTAATCATATTATATAGGGAAAATTATCAAATCTCAAACATATTTTCAGGAAATATGAATAAAAACACCTGTTATGCATTTTCTAATTGAAAATTGGTCAACAAATATAATTTAGGATAGAAAAATATAGGTACCCAGGCATTTGGAGAAAATTGCATCTTTTTTATGCTTGTACAGTATTTTAGTTCTTCTTTCTACTTCAATTGCCATATAATACATAGTGTACAAAGCTTGTGCTATCATTGCTAGACATCACTATCACATGTAATTTCATATCATGCTAATAAGCAGTGGTATCTAATGCTAGACTAAAGGAAATTCGATTTCTCTAAAAAGGAATTCATTTTTTTTTCTTTTATGGGGTACAAATGTCAACTTTTAACAAGACCGTTTCTAAGACTTCAAAGAACCTAAAATCATATGAAGATGCATAAAATGAAAATTGTTGCACGAAAAGATCTCAATTTCAAGCTTCATTTTGAGCTTTTTTAAATAAAATAATAAATTTAAGAGTTATCCTTCCTGGCTGAGGATCGGATATCCTTAATATAAAGATATTGTTTTTCTTATTTTTTTTAAAAAAATAAAGTTAGGCTAAGGTACAGCAAAGACAAAGGAAGATAATTCGTACATGTACTGAATGATATTAAGGAGGGGTATCCCTCTGCTAAGATAGATAACTCTAATTTTGACCAATCATCATTGAACGAATAATGTAGTAAGGGTTACTTCGCCTGCATAAATTTCATTTCTATTCCAACGATCACTTAGTGTTCTTATTTCTAAAAACTGCAATCACTGTAAAAAAAAAATTCCATTTAAATTATTTTGTCGTCCTGTATTAAATATGGTAAACTATCATGTTGTAAATTTTGCATTTACCTCCACCTAGTAAATTCAAAATTTACAACATGAAAATGGTGTACATTTCGATTTGTTGGTATGAGCTCTCTAAAGGTCTAGATAGCTTTGTTAAAGAGATCGGTGTATTTCTAGCCACCATTTTCTTGCTTCATGTTCGTGTATTTTTTTTATAATTAGATTATACTACTATTAAAGTCAAAATAGGGGAGTTGACATTGTACTTATTTTTAGCTGAAGCTACACACCAGTACTACTTAAAACTAATTAAAAATACTTTCAAATTAAGAAAAAGCAAAACAAAAATCAATAGTATATACAAATAACACAATATTCTAAAAAAAAAAAAATAAATAAAGCAGTAAGTGAATTGAGTAGTTTTAGTTTTATATAAGAATACTAGAAACAAAGAATATACATGTAGTTTATTTCTTCATAAAGATCCACTTCAACAACAAGCCAAGTTAAAATAATACTGTATTAGGGTTTTTTTTAAAGTACTGTGTTTATTTTACTTTCTGACAACAAAACGCCTTACATGTAGGTCAAAAAGAAGAGTTACTTTTCTACTGACGACAGTTGAGATTGTCGACATGAGCGATGTCGACAGATTGAGATTCGGCGATGACGTTACCGTCAGAGTCCGTACAATGACAGACGTCACCAACACATCGGTAATTCTGGTAACTTCCATCACTGGTGCAGTAAAATAGGCGACCAATCAAACCAGAATCCATGTACTCTTTCTGGTCACGTGCACACTCTAAAATAACCAATCAACTCAAAGATTAAGGGATATACAGCAGATTGCCCAAACATAGTCAAACTTTTAAAGCGTCATACTCACGACAAGTCATGTGCTGAGCCTCCCAGATGTGAGCACTGTATCCATCAATCTCTTTGCCTTCCTTAGTTACGCAGTAGCATCTACAACCAGAAATTGTTTCATTTCAATGGTATGAGACGAGATGATAATATTACATGTATAAAAGACAACGTTACAGCTCTGTTCCAATCATGCCAATACTAGTACCACGCAGCTCTGTAAATGTTGCCTACCCTGAGCCTTGGCACTGTTTAGGCTGGTAGTAACCATCAGCATCACATAGAGGTTTGTGGGCACCCAAAAGTGGTTGTCCGTTCTGGGTGGCGGTAAAAGTAGACAGTTCCTGGGCGCATGGGTTCAGAGCTAAGAATAGACGAAGAAGAATTAAAACGTATCAAAAACATGTTTACAATTCTGACATAATTTTTTTAAATGATTTACTACAGTTGGTGTTTATTGAAGTTATTAAACCTTATGTTAAATGGGGGTAAAAATGCAATTGTGTGTCGTTCTGAAATTGTTATTTTTAAAGTGACATACCCCTTGCTTGGATATCTGAAAAAGGTAAAAATATTTATAAATAAAACCCCTCAATTTTTCAATACATTTTCCTCTATGATAAAGAATATTTGAATAGTGACGTAATGAACTACTCACTAGCAACACACTTAAATGTGTGCATGTCACAGTGCAGTCCTGGCCCACAGTGACTGGTGGAGGGGACACCAAGTAAGATGGAGCTGAAGCACGTGTCTCCTTCAGCTGTAAAAGAAATACGCTTATATAATTATACACAGATGTAAAACAAATGTGCTACACAGCTGTAATACAAATACGCTACACAGCGGTAAAACAAATACGCTACTCAGCAGGAATGATACATGTACATGTAGCATTCAGTTAGAAATGACGGTTTCTCTAACAAGATAGGAACACTTAATAATTATCTTCTTTTAAATGCGTTGGGTTTTCGAGTTTCACGCCCATATTTGGCTTTATTCTAAGTGATGCTCCATCATTCCCTCAGCTAGGATCTGTAGAGCCCACTCACTGGTTTAAAATGTACTCTGATTTGACGACCATTTAACATTTTACAGACCAGAGACCTAGAATTCTGCAGCTTTTATTCTCCCAGATTCTTCCATACATTCCTCTTATACTAGTATTTGACTGGGATTAAAGTTTACCTATATTTCCCCACCTGCATGAGGATAATTATTTGAAATGTCACGTTGAAAATTTTGAATTTACTAGGGGGAGGTAAATGCAAAATTACAACATGATAACGTTGTAAATTTTGCATTTATCTCCTAGTAAATTTAAAATTTATGTACAAACATGATAGAAAATTAACAAGAAATCTCTCACTCTCTACCATCGGCTCATACATTCACCTCTGTTATTGGCTCGCGTATATCACAGTGTTAAGCATAAGAAATAGACCGTTTGTTTTAATTCATTTTAATTAAATTCCTGCACTAATGTTTGTCTTTTAAGGTATATATTTACTGAGTAGATGTAGAACTATTAGTTTAATTTGAAATAATCCTTAGAATATCATGTTTTTTACCTTACAACTGTATGTCAAAAATCTTGACGCGAGCCCATTGCAGAGGAGATTGGAAATCTTTAAATCCTCCTTGGTAATGATCACTTTTTATTGATTGACCAGAATTACCGACTGTGTATTTCTCTGCGTTTCTAATCCGTAAACGGGTTGTCACTTGTGTGCTACATGACTGTGGCCGACATCTGTTGCCATTAATTAATAACCAAAAACTCGATTATTTCCCACCTTACATGTGTAATTCCATCTATATAAGCTACAGATCTGCAGATACATGTACATCTATATAAGCTACAGATCTGAACTACATGTACATCTATATAAGCTACAGATCTGAACTGCATGTACATCTATATAAGCTACAGATCTGCAGATACATGTACATCTATATAAGCTACAGATCTGCAGATACATGTACACATATACATGTGTCTGATGACTCGTATTTTTCAAGTGTTTGACAATTAAAAAAAGACCATGAATAATATGAATTTATAGGTAAAAGAAATTATTTCATCGGTCAAAGAATCCATCACTCCGTATATGAGTCATATGACATCAGTATCTTTACATATATACAATGTCATGTATATTTTTCCATGGTTACAGGGGTGTGACCAACGTAAAGAAGGGTTAAAAAGCAAACAAGAAAATCCCCCCGGTGCAGCTTACCATGTACATGTATACTGTATTGTGTATAGGAAACTGACCTCAAGTAGTTGGATTGAATGTGGACCAACCTATATTCAGCACTTTGGGATGATATACATGTAGCAGACCACTTACGGAACTAAAACCACTTTCTTTGGTTCTACATAAAACATGTACTTATATATTCTTTTTTACTATTCTAGATCGCATCAAAGAAGCACCGCCCTTCATAGTTCGGTATCACCAACTTTGCTCATGAGGAGAAATGTCAAATAGACACTTTACCAGCTATCTAATCCCATTTTCTTTTGGCTAAAATGCTTGCTACAAAGCTACTTGGAAAAAAATTGCTCACGTCAAAGTGAATATCATCAATTTCTGTCCACGTTACGTTTCTGTAACTTGCATGTAGAATCATTGATTTCGATTCTTATGTTGGTCTTATCAAAGATTTTACAATACGGTTTGTGAGATAAAACACAGGTATAATGTCAATTACCTGTTGACGACCTACCTAAGTATTAATGATAGGGATAGGTAAATTCCTATACAGGTACACAAAGAAATGAATTATTTAATCGTTAGGAAATTCTCGTCTTACATTTGGAAAATATGGTCTTTAGTGTACGGTTTAAGTTCAATAATTCAACTGTTACTAGTAGTTAAATTCTTAATTTTAACAGTTAAAATTGTTTCTTATAATAATAAAAAAAAAAGTCAAATTTTGTCCAAGTTTTCTTTTGAAATTCGTTCATAAAATATTTCCAAACAAGTTAAGATTTCTTTAAACATGTTAAACAACAATAAATAAATTAATAATACATATTTAATAAGATATTACCAAGATAATTCTCGCAGGAGTCGCAGCATCCACAGTATCCGCCATTTTGTTTTATGACGCCATTGCAGTTCTCCGCTGTAACAGCTGCGCATCTGACGGTAGCACAGGCGTTTGGTAGACACACAAAGGCCTGGGTACTGCAAATCACAGAAAACAACAACAAAAATACCTTCATTTCAAAAGCTTTTGTAAAAATAACCGCAGTCTTTCTTAAAACTGTCTTTATAGCGAACAAGGCCGAGTCTTATCTTCCAAAATTTCCAGTTTGTTGGCAGGTGACTCTGGTAATCTTTGAAAGATAGGGGATATGTGTGCACACGGTCACGGCTTTAATGTATTTATGTGGCCATATTTCTCAATGTTTCATGAGAATTATGTAATTTCTTGATGCGATTAATTTGAAAGATTAAATTATTATATATATAAATTGTAAAACCACCATAAATATATAAATGTACAAGTTATTAACAGCTGCCTTATGTGGAGAACATTCATTATATGTTGATACTTCAACATTATATGCGGATACTTCAACATTATATGCTGATCCTTTAACATTATATGCTGATACTTCAACATTATATGCTGATACTTTAACATTATATGCTGATACTTCAACATTATATGCTGATACTTTAACATTATATGCTGATACTTCAACATTATATGCTGATACTTTAACATTATATGCTGATACTTTAACATTATATGCTGATAGTTTGTCATTATATGCTGATACTTTAACATTATATGCTGATACTTTGTCATTATATGCTGATACTTTAACATTATATGCTGATACTTCAACATTATATGCTGATACTTTAACGTTATATGCTGATACTTTGTCATTATATGCTGATACTTTGTCATTATATGCTGATACTTTAAGGTTTTGCCAAATGTCAACATGTCCAAAAATTTATTTTTACAATAGCTCCAAAACTATGTGGTTTATAAAGTTAAAACTTTTACAGTTTATAAATATATCATTGATTAACAGATAGAAATTATCACTTGATAACAAATACTTAACAAAAATATTTATCGAGAAAAATTCTTTTTAAAAAATGCATATATTTTTTTTAAAAATACACCTTATTAATTCCGTACTTTTAGTGAAAGCTATCATTGCAGAAACAATATATGTTTATCAATGAAGGGCAAGTTGGACTTCGATAGCCTCTGGAAAGTTGTTTTCCCTGTTTATTTTGTCCAAATGTTAAGATTTGAAACCGAAAGTACATTGCAAATGGCGGATTTTATAGGGGTCTTCTCTTTAAACATGTCATGCTTTCAATAACAGCCTTTCAGAGACCATTCATGTCCAACTTGCCCTCCATTGATAAACATATATTATTTCTGCAATGATGGTTTTCACTAAAAGTACAGAATTAAGCAGGTGCATTTTTTTTTTTTAAAAATATGCAAATTTTTTGAAATTTATTTCTCAAAAAATATATTTTTTTAAATATTTGTTTTAAAGTGATACTTTCTATCTGTTAATCAATGATATATTTATAAACTGTAAAAGTTTTAACCTTATATCTCACATAGTTTTGGAGGTATTGTAAAAATAAATTTTTGGACATCTTGACCTTTGACAAAAGCTTAACATTATATCCTGATACTTCACTATACGGTGCTTTAAAAAATAAGTTAAACATCGGGATCGTCATTCTTTGACAAGAGAAAAAAATCTAAAAAAAAAAAAAATGTTTTCAATTGCATGGTTTTAGTATATAAATATGTACATGTATTGGTGTATATATACATATATGTACATGTATTGGCAAATGGATGGGGCGAAAGGGGGAAGGGGCACATGTAAGCAGTCTTGAAATTACTGGTTTATTTGGAAAGGGGTAGAGAGTAAATATATAATAAAAAAGTGAACTGAACAAAGATAGACTTGCAAAAAGCGCGTGTACCGCGGGAAATTATAGATATTTTGGAAATTCGGGAACTCTTCATGGTGATAAAATTTGGCTGTTTTTTTTTAATCAATGATGGTACAGGACATCCAAACAGAATAATACACTTTACACTCAAGCTCACTAAAATGGTGCAAATGATGTCGCTGGGGGTTAAGCGTAAAAAAAATAATGAAATGTCAAAGAAAATACTTTTTGAATGAATGCATGAATATGTAACCTTTAAGGCAAAAATACAAAAATGAAGTGAACAAATCATATTGAGATATTTTATTTGGCCTATAGTGATTTTTTGAAACGTACGTTACTGTCGCCAACATCGAATAATTACACTTAAATGGCTATTTTTTGTAAAAATAACAGTTGAATCTTAAATTAGATAGCATATGTCTTCAAAACATTTATTTGTAAAATGCTTTTAATAAATTATTGAGCCTAATCACAAATATATTACCAAACTTTGATTTGATATCCCCATGTCGCCAGAAACAAAATAAAAACGGACTGTGACATTAAATATAGTATAAGTATTCGGTATTGTATGCCTGTAAGATTGGAATACGTTTTATTTTGAAGGAAACTTCTTGAAAATTAAAAATAAATGGTACAAAGCCTTGCATATGTTACCAATACTTTGAAATTACATTCTATCTTCCTATTTTACATGCGTATGGATAGGCATGAAACATTCGTTGTATTAGTTTAATAGATGAAATAGAATGATATCATAGTTAAACATGTGATACTTTTTCTTCTATCCAACAACTGTATTCCATGCTCCAACCATGATTTAACAATGTCTTATTGTTAGCTTACTATTTAAGAGAAAATGATTAAATGAAACAACCGTTACCGAAACATTCGTTACCAAACCTCTTAAAAAAGAATGATTTATGAGTTCAAACATCTTCTGCACATATACGTGGTCAAATATTTTGCGCCAGTATTCAAATTTTGACATCTGGAGTACGGTACTGCCTTTGTATGATTTTTTTTCTAAAGTCTAGACAGTGTTGGTGAGTTTGTTTTCTAGAATGCAATAACAATGAATCAAATGGAATGAATTAGTATGTAGCTGTTAATATTTATATAACGACCGACAACAACTACGCAACCAGTATCAATCTACGCCTGAATGTCCTCTATTAGTCTTCAAAGGTGTTGAAACATTCGTTACCGAAGGTAACGAATGTTACAAAAATTTTAACAAATCATATATCAAAATTGCAACAATATTTACAGAATTTCTCTCATGACTAATTGATCGAATGTAAACTTTATTGATTGATTTGTATCATTTTAAGCTTAAGTTGCATAAATTTTAATATAAACTGATTCTAGAGAAGCATTATTGAACACACACATTAATTCTGAAGAAAAACGTTAATTGAAATTATTTTGAAAGTCATTTTTAGATTGAATCATATGATATTGATTAAACAAAGGCTTGGGTTTCTATTCTGAATCTACATCAGGGTTTTTTGTTTCTCTCTTATAATTTTGATACTGTTAAACTCGCATTTTATGTTAAGTAACGTACGTTTCAGCATTTTATTTTAGTTGAACTATGGCACTGACCCAAGCAGAAATAGAAGGGAAGTTTCCATTGATGGTTTAATGATTTCAAGCTAAAAGTCATCAGAAAAATTGTTATTTACATTATTTTAGGTTCTGTTAAAACGTCTATACAGACAATTTTACATATATCTCTTATCCGTTTGTACATATACAGTTCAAGGAAAATATGACACGATGATATATATGATGCAGTTCAAATTATGATTTCTTTTGACATTTTCAATACCATGGCACAAGTAGAGCAGAAATTACATCTCATAAATTGGTCCATTTTGTTGGAATTAAACTTAAAAACAGTAAATATTACTTCTCATGAAACATTCGTTACATACGAACGTTGTTGCAATTGAAAGTGTAAATAAGAACAAGATCACAATTCATGAACAACATTTTATTTAACGTTTCTATAAATGGATCCTCTTTTCATTTAGAACCCCCATTTGCGCTGGACAGTTTCGATTTTTCTTGAGGCATATTTGAAATATAAAATTTTAAAGATATGTCAAATTCATTTGAAGAAAAAATATAATACGACAATTTGACTGCATCAATTCATAAAATACATTATGACAGTTGACCTTTTTTGTCTTATCACGAAAGTAAATAGACTGATTTACTTTTGACATTGAGGATTTATTACAATCTATATTATTTCATCCTAAAATCTTGAAGGAAAACTATAATATGATATGTAACGCTTGTTTCTCAGCAAATAATGATCAACAATATACCTTTATTTCAAATTGACGTAATTTCTTAACCAATAAACTTAACTTGAAAAATCTTTGGGAATACAAACTTGATATGTTGATCTATCCAAAAATATTATTAGTAGATGGATAATCAAAAGTCGATTTTTGAAGAAAAAATATCTTGAATTGCACCAATTTATTGAGTTTGGGTGTTTAGGGGACACATTTGATTCGTTTGGGGGTGCAATTTTTTTTTTTCCGAGTCAGATTATTTATTCAGTTTCATGTCACTACGTGAATGATAGATTATTCATTTTCTAGATGACCAGGTACAGATTATTTATTTTCACATACACTGAACAAAAAAGTCTATCCAAACTCGAAAACTCTATTTCTTTGGGGAGAAGGGTGGCCGGGTGGGGCTACCATCACGCCAAAGTCATCCCAGTGGAGGACATACTGATTTATTTTCAACATTTTCAAGGACAGATTATTAATTTCCATAATATGATAGCCCCCCTCCCCCTCTCCCCACACATATTGCATGATCGTTCCGGCCTCAGAACCACGCTTCAGCACTTAAGTTCTTGATAGCTCTGCACTTTTATATGTAATTTTCAAGTTGGAAGGAAGGGGGTTGTTGTTCAGAGATTTCATTGTTATGACATCTGCATAGTAATTTAGGCTACTAATGACTAAAAACCTTTTTCCAGAATCTAGCTGTCATTGCATTTTTAACTGGACTATTTAAGCTGGTCTATACATCTAATGCCATGCAAGCAATCATTCTGGAAAACTGTAAAATCACCGAGACTGAGCTTATGAAGTTAGTTAGTTCTAACCAACCAACCAACCAACCCCCCTCCCCAAAATTTTTTTAAAAAAATTATAAACTAAAAAACAAAAAAATTAAACATCCAAACAACTAATATAATATTTCACTAAAAATTCTTAAATTTCAACTAAAATCTACCTCATGCAGTGCATTTAAGAAATCATATTAAGATACATGTATTACTTGTATTTATTATTTTTTTGCAATAATACGTATAATTATCTAACTTGTAAGCCAGTAAAAACATTCCAGAGGCGT